TCATCACAGAAACTTTCGGTTTTGATCATGCAATATGACCTATAAACCATCAGGTCAAATATGAATATTCATTTGATTTTTGTACTTGATTTATATGTTGATCCCACATTTCTCCTATTATTATTATTATTTTTATTTTTAATAAAATGCTGAAGTGGTAGGTAGATGCAAGATAAAGGTAGAAAACATAGTTTAGTGCTGTAAGAAGGCAAATGTAGATGATCAGATGATCAGGTGTGTGCCTATGGACTAAGTATTAATCCAGGCTAGACAAGGGCAGCAAGACATCCACGGATGCAGAAGATTTCTCTCAAAGCAGGGGGGGTGAGGTTCTGAGCCTCACCTCTGTTGATCCCCAAATTCTCACCTGATGGCCCCCCTGCGACTGTGCCTGTCTTAGGTTGTTCCTCCCTTGAGGAATCTTACCCGTCTCTGGCTAACCAGTCATCTTCCGGGGCCATACAGGGAAATGTAAAGTTGGTAAGTGAGAGAGAAGCAATATTCTTTGAAAAGGGTAGCTTTTTACTTCTTTGCAGATTTATGCCCTGTGGCTTCTATGCCCAGCATTTGTCTTGAGGTATCTTTACCACTTGGAGGAATTATGATACTCAGTGAATTCGATATGAGGCACGAATTCTATTTAAGGGTTGTAATTAAGAAGGAAGAATAACAGCTATAGAGGTAGCAGACAGAAGAAAACATGGGAAGATTGATTATTTCTTTGACATATCTTCTTGTAGAGTAACATAAGCATGTATAGGTTTTAAACTACTAATTAAATTGTGTACACACATTAACATAATAGGAAAACAGCTACGTAACAAAAGCAGACCTACAATTACCAGCCATATCCAGTGAAACCAAGAAAACCAGTTAGGTACCCTAGGCATTTGGGAAAACTTATCAATGATATAATGGATATTGTCTAACTGAATTTGAATAGTTTGAGAAAAATCAGACAAATTAAAACAACACATTCCTGGGAACTGTTCACATTCCATATGTTCTTTTAATAGTAGATAGTCTATAGTCACACGATTTTGGAGCACTGCAACTTGCACTTCTCCTAATTCTTGGTTGAGTTCCGACAGTACAGATCCAGTCAAATTTGTTGTTTCACTGTATGCACAGGTCAGCTTAGATATCTCCTTCTTTCCAATGGCAAGTTCAGGAACCGGTGGAATGAATGCAGCTACAACTGCAACAGCGCCAGGATCTTTGTTGAAGTTTTTTGATGATCATCTTCTGGAATGACTCTTCCAGAGAATGTTGATGTTGGAAGTTCTTCTTCATATCGTATCTTAATTCGTTTTCTGGGTAGCCAAATTAGGCTTTGATCCTCTGTTATTTCTCCTTCATTTTTGAAGAAAAAAATTTGGGGGATTTAGAATTCTAGGTTAGTGATCTTTTAAGACTTTAAATATTTTACATGCCTCTCTTCTTATTTGCATGGCTTCTGATGAAAGTATAATGTAATTATTTTCCTTTTTAAACTTTTCTTTTTTCCCTCTGTATTTCTTCAAATCTTTCTCTTCATGTTTGTTTTTCTGTAGTTTGAGTAGGATGTGCACAGTCATGAATTTTATGTAAATACATACTTAGTATACACATTCATATACATTTATTTACTTATTATTCTGCTTGGTGGTCTTTGAGCTTCCTGGATCTGTGTTATAATGACTATCATTAATTTTGGGAAGTTTCCGTCCATTGTTACCTCAAATAGTTCTTCTGCTCTATTCTTTCCTTCTATTTCTGGAATTGAAATTATATTATGCCTTTAGAAATTTTTTCACAGTGTTTGGATGTCTTGTTCTTTTTTTATCTTCAAATTTCAGTTTGGGAAATTTCTATGGGCTATTTTCAAGCTTACTGGGTTTTCTTTAGTTGTGTTGAGTCTTCTCATATATCCATCAGAAATATTCTCCATTTCTGTTGCAATATTTTTGGTTTGTAGCATTTCCCTCTGCTTTTCTATTAGAGTTTCCTTCTCTCTGCTTATGTCTGGTCTTGTATGTTGTCTACTTTTCCCATTAGAGTCTCCATCATATGAAACAGTTATTTTAAATTCCCTGAATGGTAGGTAATTCCAACATCTGTTATATCTGGGTTAAAGTCTGATGATGGCTTTCTCTTTGGAATGTTGTTTTTACCCTTGCCTTTGGAATCTACTGGAAATGTTTTGTCAAAGCTGGACAAATATTAAGTGGTAGGAAATTAGGTAAAGGGGCCCTTAGTGTGACGTTTTATGTCAATCTGGCTAGCAGATGTGCTGGTTAATAGGAGCTATGGCTATAGGAGCCAGAGGCTTCCATTTCCTCTGTTGTGTTTTTTTCTGTCCCCCTGTGGACTTTGGGCTTCCAAAAGCACTTTTCTCCAAGTGGGACTACATCCCACAGTTCTCCCACCTGTATTCCATCCGACACTTCTCTCATACACACACTAAACATGTCGGAACATTCTGTTGTCCTTCCTTTGAATAACATCTGGTCTGGCCTTCCTGCAGACACCTTACTGTGTTCACTAACATCTGCTCCTGGTTTTTACAACACCCTCTTAACTGGTCCTTTAGGCAAATGTCTACTTGGCCCTGCAAATACACTCTCTACCCTTTGTGTTACTGTCTTGAGCCTCAGGAGGCTCAACTGGATTATGCTCCGGCTTCCATCTGGCTTTTGACTTTCAAGATTCCTGGCAGGAGTTCAGTGGTAGAGAGGTGGATGCTGTGGGTGCTATGTTAGTTTTCCATGCCCCTGTAATAAATTATCACAAACCTGGTGGCTTAATAAACACAAATTTATTGTAACATAGTCTGGAGGCTGGAAGTCCAAAATCAGGGCCCAAGTAAAGGTGCTGGCAGGGCTGTGCTTTCTTCAGAAGCCATAGCCAGGCATTAGGACCTGACATCCTGGAGGACCATCTTCATCCAATGGCAGGTTGTCTGTGTCCCTCAACCAAAGTTTATGACTTTTATCAGGGTTATGTTCTCCATACACCTTACTCCTTCTGGGTTCTTGGAAGACTTCCAGGGAGACCCCCCTTCCTTGTCTCTTCAGGTCTAGGAGAGGTAATATTCCACCGCCATCCCACTACCATGCTACTAAAATGCATACTGGCCCTATGCTACGTGTTCTCTTATTTGTTCCCATACTACTTATATTTCAGTTTTCCTAAAATTACTCAATTATGTGTACCATCTCTTTCCAGATCAGATCCTGACAGACACAACCCTACACACAGTCTCAACATAACAACCAAAGTGATGCTTTCAAACTAAAGTTAAGATATATGGTTCCCCTTATGTTGAGAATAGTAAGCAAATTTCTTAAGTTGGCCTGGAAGACCCCCTTATCTGGCACCTCCATTTTTCTCTGACCTATCATCTATCTTCCTCCTGGCCTCTAGGGCCCCATGGTTCATGTCTTAGGGTCCAGCACTGGCTCTTTCCTCTTCATGTTATGTTCTTCCCAGATACCCATGGCTGGCCCACTTCCTCCAGGCTTTGTGCACATGGCACTTCCATGTTGCATCCATCCGTGGTTTTTATCACACAGCAGTAGTGCAGTTTCTGTGGGTTCCTAGACCTAATTCCAATGCATATGTGTGTGGGAAGGCAGCCTTTCTGTGCACAACACTGAGCAAGTCTCAAGCACCAGAAGGGTGTCTAAGAACTCAACTCAATCCTGATGCTATCTGCCCAAAGACAGCACCAGATTCCCCAGGTTAAGGGCTCAGTCTTACAAGACTTCCCTCCAACCCCAGACAGCAGATGCCAGTCATAAGCCCAGGAAGTTACCTGTGCTTCTTACCAAGCCGCTACAGATTGGAGGTTCCAATGACCTCCCCCTTAGGTTCAATTAATTTGCTAAAGTGGCTCACAGAACTCAAGAAAACAAGTTCCTCTGTTTAATAAAGGATATCATAAAGGATACAAGTTAACAGCCAGATGAAGACATACATAGGGCAAGGTCCCAAATAAGGGAACATCTATCCTTGGGAGCTTGTGACCTGGCTCTGTGGCACATGGACATGTTCTGTTCCCCAAGCATGGAAGCTTTCTCTGACAGAGAAGCAAAGCAGCATCACTGCATAGTCATGATTAAATCATTGGCCAATCGATGATTCAACCTCCAGCCCCAGCCCTTAGGTGGGGTTAAAAGTCTCTCATTAGCATGACGAGACACCCACTTCAACCCCAAGGCTTTGAAGTGTTTCAGGAACTGTGGATGAAGACCTAATACTTCTGGGAAATATATATTTGGTCATCTGAATGACAAAATATGAATTTCTTGCAACTCATTATATGGCACCTACCCTGAGCACCCTATTTAAAATCATGATGAAAGGACATAACTCCACCTAGCAAAGAGGATCATCCTATCCTTCCTTACTTTCTTTTTTTTCTCCTAGTAGAACTTTTCCCTCCCAGGACACTGTGAAATGTATTTATCCTGTATCTCCTACTGAACATAAGCTCCGTGATGGCAGGATCTTTTTCCACATTTTTTTCCCTCTATACAGCCATGAATACAAGTGTCTGGACACAGCTTGGCTCATAACTGCTGAATGAATGGGTAACTCTCTATGCTGGCAGCAGATGCTTCCTCTGAATCGCTGGTAGGAGTGGCAAAATGATACAAACATGGAAAACAATTAGAAATGTATACAACCTTATACCTGGCAGTTTATTATTTCTAAAAATAAATCCTACAAATACCTCAGGCACTTATAAAACACTATAACCACAGTCATGTTTGTGATAACAAAACACTGAATTGTGAAGGAGGGGACTAGTGTAATATAATAAAACTATTAAAAAGGAGGAGGATACGTATGGGTGTCAAGCAAAAGCTTTGGAAAAGGGAAAGATAAAGAACAAAGTTAAAATATTTGCCTTCACTTGCGTCGAGTGTGTATGATGTGAGCCTTTGCACAGAATGCCTGGGGGCACAAGAAGCTGTTAACAGTCATTGATTGCCCAGAGGATGGGGTGGAGAGAGACTCTTTTAGGATGTATACATCTCTAATAGTTCTCCATAATTTTTGTATCATTTTGCCACTCCTACCAGCAATACAGAGGAAGCATCTGTTGCCAGCATAGTGAGTTATCCATCTGTTCAGCAGTTATGAGCCAAGCTCTGTTCCAGACACTTGTATCCATGGCTCTATGTCTACTGTACTATTTGGAATTTTTCAAGTTTATCCATGTACATAATTTTACCTATTTCAAGTATATGAGAAGAATAAAAACCCTATATTTTCTGTGTGCCTTCATGGCACTGCAAGCCTAGTGGGCTCATGTTCTCCGATGGTCTCCGCTCTGTTCATCCTCACAACTTGCAGCTGATGCACCTTCCCAACCTGTGGGTGCACCTTCTTCATGGCTCCTGCTCCCGCTCCTATGACGATGCTTTTAAAAGTAAGATGATGACCAATCACCTTAATAGAAATAAAAAACAATTTGCTTTTGAGGTAGGTGTAAGTCTCCACTCACCAATACATAAAACTCTAATAAATTACTCAATCCTTTTGTTAATAAATAGCTAATAAATAACTCTATTTGAAAAAACCTGTTTTGCTTCATGGACTCTGTTTTCAGTCTCTCTCCTGACATCTGGTCGCAGAGCTGACTAAGTGCCTGGCTCAGGGATAATGAGAGGGAAATAGAAAAAGAAGTAAATTAATACCTTGAAGTGTTATCCAGGCACATGCATCCTAGAACCAAATTTCTCAAGGTAGCAAAAAGGAAGGAATTTAAATGAAACAGGCACTTCCGTTTTTATCTAAGGGTCACCTGAGGCTGACGCTAGAGCAGACCTCAGTGTTTCTCATCCTTCAAATAGTTTCTGAACCTCTCATCTGGTCGGCAGCCTCCTGTGTTCCTTCTCTTATGCCAACTTCTCAAAATAGGTGTCTCTTCGAGCACCCCCAGGGCCCCCTGCTGGTCACTCAGCTAACTCCAAATAGGCTTCTCTTCTCACCAGGCAGCTGAAAAAGCCCCTTGTCTGGGTGCACATGACGCCCATGTTACCCAGCACAGGGTCTGGCCCTGCTCTCATTTGTTTTGACTCTCAGCGACACTTGTCCCATTGACGACTCCCTCCTTTTTGGAGCTGTTCTATAACCTCAATAAGCTACCAGTACAAAGGTCTATGACTTACCTACAACATAAAGCTATGTCATTAGAATACATACGAGAAATTGAAGTATTCCTCCACACTTGTTAAAACAGAGATTTCATTTCCTACTGTGTTGTGTTACACTGAGTGTCATTACCCTGAACTGCCACGGTCATAATATGATCCTTGGAACATGTATTTCTTGACCATCTTGAGGAAAAACTTTTGCACATCCATAGAGACAGGACTCCAGTCTGGGCTCAAGTCCTGCCTCCTCTCCTTCCATGCTCTATGATCTTGGCACCACACCACTTTTTCCTCACATGTAAAATGATAAAAATAATGCAATTTAACTCTTATGGTTGTTTGAAAATTAAATGAGTTCTTACATGTAAGAATTTGTGAATGGCATGTGGCCAAATGTGAGCTCTACTGCTATTCCCAATTTTCCAAGCAGTTGTATCATGGTAATTTATTTTCTGCCAAGCTCTCTTGATTTCATTGAACAACAGCTGGTGATTATGAGAGACTGAACAGTCATGGCTTTCTCCACCAGAAACCTGGTTCTCATAACTTAGAAATACTAGGAGGCCATGGCAAACTTCAGTTTCCTAAGTTGGTGAAAGATATATCAAAGAGATTAAAAGTTATCATCAGTATTGCTAGGAGAATGTTGCAATCCATCTTCATTTGGGCACATTTTTTCCAGGCAATGTTGAGCTCCAGGCATTTGAAAAGGTGCCCAGATGAAATAGCCCGGGAATCAATATTAATCATATTTTCCATTCAGGAAATGAAGTTGAGTTGATGTATCATTCATGCACTGGGGGTACGGTTTTCAAAGAGAAAATCTAATCACTGCATATATAAGGTCTTAACATAGCTATAGATAAAAAATGCATATTTTATTGGACTTTGATGATCACAAAAACAAAACATAATGAATACTGTCTGCATAAATAGTATGGCTAAACACTAGCTGATATGAATTAAGTGCTTGGGGCAAAACTGTGGTTTATTTATGGATATTATCAAAAACTCTGGAACAAGTGTAAGATAGCAGAGCTTGTCTCGGGACCTCAGGCCTCAAAATCTCAGTGTGCTCTTTATGGTGGGAAGTCTGATGTGAACCTTTGCTATAGGGACAGATGCCCCTCTGATTTCCTCCTCCGGTACCTCCTCCTATTTCATCACATTCTGCTTGTCAGTGTGATTCTGTCAAACAAATCAAACCACAGAGATGGTATAATTTCAGCTTGACCTTGAGAAGGCAATCTTCCTTACAATTAAAAAAAGAAAGGTTTTGATTGTGAATTAAATGAGTAATAATAATGCTTGGGTCAGAAAACCCGAAGTACTAGGCTTAAATTTATAGATGGCCAGGTTCAAGATGAAAAATATTTCAAACCACAATTTAAGAATAAGTAAGAAACAACTGTTTTTTGAACAGGAGGAGAGCCTTTCCCTTATACCCCCAGAAGTCACATGCCTGAGCTACTGTGACCTAGAGTCCACCACTGATGGCATATTTAGCAATGGGATGAATGTCACACCTGCTTCTGTACAATATTCTTTGAGGAACAGAGTCAAGTTAAAGGGAGGAATACTGATTTTCAGGGCTACCTAACACTGTGGATGCTAATAAATTCAGACCCCACAAAGTCTGGAGCTCCCCCACTAGAAACTGACTTCCCAATAGCCACATGAATGCCTAAAAGACATTGTCAAGCAACATTGAAATATCTTTGATATTGAAGACATTAATGTCCCACTTAAGAATTTTGTTCCCTGCCAAAGGATCTTTATATAAATTTTTGTACTTTTTGTATAAAATAATGAAAGGAATATGATGTCTGATTTGTGGAATTATAAAAATACAGAGCTAAAACACTGGAGAATATTATGGACATGTCAAAGGACTTGGGGTCAATTTTCTCTAACGTTCTTGTATTTTAAAGAACAGCTTAAGATGCTGATTAATTTCTGAATGAGTATGCCTGGTGTAATTTCAAAGATAAGCAGTAAAGAATATGCATACAGATGCCTGACCTTCCAAACGAGAAAAGGAGGGGAAAAAAAAGCACACAATTCTAGCTGTATTAAAGACACCATTAAAAAAAATTTTTAATGAAACATTTAGAAAAAAAAATTGGGGACTATCTTTATGATACTGAGGTTGGGGAGACTTGTTTAAGCATCATATCAAGAATTAAAACTATCTTATTAAATCCAATTCAAACAATAAAGCATGTAAGAAAGAAAAGTCACAAATAGTAAGATGTTTTCAACATGTACAACTCAAAAATGAGATAAAGAAGAGCTATGAATCATTAAAGGAAAACAACCCAACAAAATTTACTCAACCTGAACCAAGTAAACATGAGTGACCAAGAAGCAAATCAAAAGATGCTACACCTCATTCTTACCCTAAGTTCTACTAATGAAAAGTGCAATGAGATGCCCTTGTGCATGCATCAGGGAACTAGCTCAAAAGGCCAGTCATAAGCTTGGGTATCATACAAAGCAATGCAAACACTTGTACTGCTGTTAAAAGATACAATCCTTCTGGAAAACAACTCTCATTACATGGTAATCCCACTCCTGAGCGTTTAATATGGCAAAGCACATTCACACCAAGATGAAGAACAGAAATACTCAGACTCCTGTATATAGTCTGAAATAAGACAGAATTAGTCCTTGGTACTGGCTGCAAGGGGATAAATTCAAGGGTATTATGAAACTAGTAAACTTAAGAAAAGCTTTCAGAAACAGACTAGAAACAAACTTCCAGAAAAGTCCGAGAGAACTGTAGAACTGCTGAGGGTGATAGCAAACACTGCAGAAACAGCATGCAGAATGATGCAGGCAGAGGATGAGCTGTTCCTGCCAGTCCACAGACCCACAGCTGATGGCCTGGGTAAGGGCTGTGACATCACTCAGCTTCACTGGGCAGCAGAAACCATTGCCAGCTGCCTGAGGTCTAGCTGAGCTCATTCTATAATGGAAGTCTGGTGCAGGTGACTACCTGCATTCAGGAATCTAAGGCATGTTTGTGCACTGTAGCTGCAAGAGAGACTTTTGGAATACAAAACAGCTCTGTGAGAAAACTCCAAAACATAAAAAAGGAAGAATGTTATTAACAACATTAACTGGATTAGAAAAAAATCCTTTGATCAGTTTAATAGATGTAAATAAAACATTTGGCACAGTCAACACCCACTCATACAACACCTCTCAAAAAACTAGAAACACAAGGAAACTTCCTCACCTGATAAAAGGCATCTACTGAAAACACAAAGTTCAAACTGTGCTTCATGGGAAAAGGCTGAATATCTTCCCCTCACTGTGTGTATGAGGAAAGGGAGGGGGCAGCTATCACTGCCTTTATTCAACACTGTGCTGTAATTTAAGCCACTGCAACAAAGCAAGAAAAAGTGGCAAAAAGACTGAAGAAAACAATATTTCTATTTGCAGATGACATCATTCAAAACAGAAAATTCTAAGGAATGTTCAAAGCAGTTACTAGAACTAGTAAGCAAGTTTGTCAAGGTTGCAGAATATAAATACTGTAAACAAATAATAACTGTATTTCTACCTACTAGCAACAAATGACAAAAATTGAAATTTAAAATAAATATTTATAATTTACAATAACAAAAAAAAGGAGCCCAGAAATAAAATTTTAAATATGTACAACACCTATAAAATAAAAACTGCAAAATACTGCTGAGAAAATTAAAGATTTAAGTAAATGGAAAGATATGCCATGTTTCTTGTTTGGAAGATAGAACACTGTTAAGATTTCAGTCTTCCAAATCTATAGATCCATCACAGTAGCCTTTTTTTGTCGTTGAAACTGATGAAGTGACAAGAATGTCTATTACAAATGATGTAGGATAGCCCAGACAATCTTGAAAAATAAGAACAAAGTACTGCTTGACTTCCAGAGTTACTGTGATGCTAGAGCAAATCACAACAGTGTGGTAGTAGTGAAAGCATAGACAAGTAGGTCAGCCGAACAGAATCAAAGATTGAGATACACAGTGTGGCCAGCAGATCTTAAGAACACAGGCAAACACACACAAATGACTTATTAATATTGTACAACTGCACATGATAAAATAATATATATGTTCAGACTTTAGGGACACCCTATAAATCTACACAAATGCAATTATTAGATTTAACAAATATTCAAGAGAGCTGAATAATTCAATATGGAAAAAAATGTTCAAAACCTTGTGCTGGAAAAATGATACCCACAAGGAACAGATGAACCTTGAACTAAAAACAAAAGTTAATTTCAGGTCAATAGTAAACTTAAATATTGTATCTAAAAAGATAAAATTACTTAAAAATAGAAGATACATCTTTGCAACTTTGTAAGAGTCAAAGATTTTTCAGAACAAACACAAAAAAACACTGAGTAAAATTTTAAAATAGTAAGTTAGACTCTAATAAAATAAAAAATTACTACTCATCAAAAATCAAAATCACTGCTAAGAAAATGAAAATTCAGGCCAAATATTTGCAATACATACATAAACTAACTGTGAGTGGTATCCAGAATATATATTTGCACAAAGCAAAAGTCAAAAGGAAAGCAGCCCAATACAAAAAAAGGTGAGGGGTGGGCAATGGACTTGAACAGACATCTCATAGGATAGTCAACATAACTAATCATCAGTAAAATGCAATTAAAATCACAATGAGTTACTACTTCACACTTACTAGAATGGCTAAAATCTGAAACTGGCAATTTTAAGTGTTAATGTGAAGATGGAACTTGAGCGCAAATAGCTGGACTCACTCGATTCTGGTGCATGCTACAACCACTTCTTGTGCAATTGATGGGATCATGTTCATCAATGAAAATGAATTACGATTATAGGTGCACACACCAACATGAACAGTTCTCCCAAACATGATTTTAAAAAGCAGTGTCAGGAGAATATAGACAGTATGAATCCATACATTTAAAGTTTAAACATAAATAAGCAAATCTAAACAGTTCATTAGAAGACACATATCATAAAGAAGCATAAAGAATAAAAAAGGTGTAACAGTTAAAATACAGGATGATGGTTTCCTTCTTTGCCATGTGTTTTAGTTTACAAAGTATGTCTTATATGCAATATTTTGTTCATATGAAGTGTATGATGAGGTTAGGTTAGAAAAATAAAGTATGAGGACACTTAAAACATTAGTATATATTTCTATGGGATGAACTACTAGGATGCATGTAAACAAATTATGAATTCCAAGCTGTCTGTATATTCCAAATATGGTTATAATATTACCTTTCTTTCAACATGCTCTTCCATCATTATTCTTGGTCATTTTAATATGCACGTAGAGGATCCAATTCAGTGAGCCAACACACCTGAAGGTCTCTATGCCAGTCTCCTTAATCCCAGCCATTTTTCTTGTTCCACCTACAAGATTGATGACTAAGTCATTTACCACCTCCAAAAATCTCTGTTTCAGACCTCCAATTTTCTGATCACCTTTCCAGCTCATTCCAGCACCTGGACTCCAGCAATTACTGCAACCTGTCCACTGACCACGAGCCCTTCACTGGCATTCTCTCCACTGTCCCTAGATTCTGGGATGTTTCATCACCATGCATCTTTTGATTGCCTTGTCAACTTTACAGATTTCTATATTGATCTAAAAAGAACTACTCTATTTTCCACTTCCTTCTCAGTCACACTCAAGCAACTGAAGGAAGTTGGAGAAAAAAATATATACATAGGTGTTAATTTATCTATTAAATAAATGACCCAAAGCCCGCGGGAGTCCTTTGTACTGCCCCACATGGCAGCTATGCTCTTCTCGTCACTGCTTCCCCACTGTCTCCAGTGTCACTTTGCCCCTCTCCTCTCTAACGCCCCGATATCTCCTCTGGCTTCAGAGACAAGTCATCAACCAGAAGTCTACCTCAAATCCCACCAAATTCATAGCTTCCTTTCGCTGATACCCTATCTTTCCTCCTAGAACAACAGATAAGCTGGAGTGCTCTGTCTTAAGGATAACGACCAAAGCTGACCCATCCTCTCTCAGCTTCCGATAGCATTTGCTCTGACAATTACCAGCCATTCTCTCTTGAACCATTATTCTCTCCCTACCAGATCATTCCAGGGACATACAATGGACTGTAATAGATCACATGTTTCAAAAAACAGTTCATTATCCTCACACCTCCTACCAGGTACTGAGCCCTTGCTTGGAACCCCTGTATGGACCACACATTTCCCATGAGTCACGTCCCATGAGAGAAATAACCAGTGTCTCCACCTCCTCTCCTCACATTCTTTCCTAAACCTGGAAGAAGTGGGCTCTGTCCTAGTACTCTGCAGCAGCCACTCTTTCCAAGAAAGATCACGATTCCTATACTGCCAAAGTTCAGAGGATACCTATTGTCCTCATCTTACTTGACATATCATCATGAAGCAGATAACTAATTACTCCCCAAATTATTAAATACTTCTTTCTTGAAACACTCTCCCCCACTGGTATCTCAAACAGCACAAGCTCTTAATTTTCTTCCTACATCAGCAGGCATTTCTCAGTCTCCTTTGCTGGATGACCCCATTCTTCACAAACTCTTGGGGATGAAGTGTCCTGGAGCCCATGCTTTGAATCCCTTCTCCATCAACTCTTACTCTCTGTGCAATCCCACCAAGTCCACTGAAGCACAAATGCACATTTTTTCCTCTAGGATGGCGGTATGTAAAATGAGACCCACTGTCACTCTTTCCTTCCCTTTTTATGTTTGAATTTTCACTATAGTCCTTATCATTCAGAGGTGTTTCATACACTATGTGTGTAGAAGGACTTAATATCCGCCCCCACCCTATGATGTATACTAACTACGTGTACATGGTGAGTGCATTATCACTGGATTCCCAATGGCTAAAGTGATAATTGCTATGTGCTGAACATATATGAGTTGAGAAGATGGGAAAATGACTGAATTTATAAATGCCCAGAAAAATGATCTGGAAGGATAGCCAGCGTAAGAGTACTTCTATCTGACAAGAGGAGTCAAACTTACACAACACTGTAAGAAAGTATAGAAGGATTTTAATAACAATTAAAATATTTGATCCTAAGTTTTGCCCTTATAAATCACAGGTCAGCAATAAAATGGAATACATTAATTTCAAACACAAAAAGTCTACATTAGGTTGTAACTTTTAAAAACAAATTTTATATACTATCATAAATAATTGTAGCAAAAGTGATACTTTGCATCAATGGACTAGATGATTAAGGACCTGTCAATTTCCTATTCTCTTGGGAGAATAAAGCAAAGTCCCTCCCTATATTACACCTTATACCAAATTAAAATCCAAATGGGCTAAGGATCTAAAAAAATAGTAATAGAAGAAAATACAGAAGGAATCTTACTTATGTAAGGAATGCCTTAAGCAAGACACAAAACAACAGAAATAGCAAATGGAAATATTTAAATTTAAAACAATGGGAAGAAATGATATATAAAATTTCGAAAAAAGACAGTCACATTAAGAAAATAGTTGCAACAAATACTCTCAAAATATAAACACTGAGAATTTGTTCATCCTTTCATTCTTTCAACAAATATTGAATGATATGCAGGTGGTGTGTTAAGATCTGTGCAGTTGGTGGGAAAACAAACTTGCTTTACTGCAGCTCTCATGCAAGTGGGGGACACAGGAATCAGACACACAAGCAGACTGTTAGAAATAGATAGTTAGGAAGTTTAAAAAATACAAAGGAAAACAAGGCCAGGCAGGATAAGGCAATGGTGAGTGACAGGAGATACAGCTGTAGGTAAAGTGCTTCCCTAAAATCAATGGAAGGAGCAAAACCCTGAGAGGCAGGGGTAAGAGGCCTGTACAGGGATTGGGCCCTGCACCATTGTGCAAGCTGGTGGAAAAGTCTATATAAGGCTGCTGCCTGTGGCTCACTGTCAGGACTGAAATAACCAGAAGCCATCTGGAGACACCTGGACATCGGCTGGGAAAGGGCAAAGATAGACTGGAGCCTTCAAAGACAACTCGGGGCCCAGGAGGACAGACTGGACCACATGCTCCAACCTTGAGGAGGCAGGTGCCGTGCACGAAGAGCTTCAGCCTTCCCCCATGGAAGGGCCAGCACTCAAGAAACTGAGAGCGTGGATGCGGTCCTGCAGTGGTGAGATGAGCTGGCCAGCGACAGTGTGCAGGCAGCGGGAGTGCAGTGGCTGCTGCTACTCCGCAGCACCTTTGTGTTGGGTGCACATTCTAGTGTGCCCGCCATTACAAGGAAAGACACAGGGGAGAGAATTCCAGCTCAACTATGCTGACGCAGTACACAGTCACCATATGGAATACCTTGCTTCTTCGAGAAATGGATATTCTAGCATAAACCTGGATGCACGAGTATGATTTGTGAGGTCTGAGAGGGAATCATTCCAGACAGAGCCAGTAGAGAGGGTGAGATCTATGTGGAGCATGCCGATAGTGCTCCCACGCATGAGGGGCTGCACGGCTGCAGGAAGATGTAATCGAAGAAGTGCCTAGGGCATGCTTGGGGTCACCATCACACTCCATCCAGGCAGTGTGCAGAGAAGGCATTGAGCACCTATATCTTAAGTAACTAATAAATACATGAATGACTAATGTCCTTCATAATATTGGGAGTTAAGAGAATTGAACTGACTTACAAACAACGCTATGTACAACATTGAAGTTCAAGGACTCTGACTAAGTGTGCGTAGGTGCTGGCTATAGTATCTTTTCAGCATCAGCATATGAGCATCAGTTGCCTTTCTTGCATCTCCATAAAACTGATAGAGAGGCAAGGGTGTGGATAACAGCGCCCACTTCTTCACACTAAACATATCTAACATCAGCATCTCAGGAGAGACAGAAAAGAACTGAAGGTATCAGAAAGGTTAATCAGCTGTCAGATTAAATTCACATACAATGTAGATCCCAGGTAAGTCACCTTTGTCATTGAAACAGGTATTTACAGGATGGAGGAGCAGATGGTAACCCCAGACAACAGCTGAACAGCAAAGCCATGAGAAGACTGTAAAGAGGCAGAGCAATGTTGAAGTTGGGAATGAGAGCAAGGCCCGTGCTGATTCACACACACACAGTATGGATCTGCATCCAACTGAGGTGTGGGTGATGTCCTCATTAAAAGCCATTAAAGTAGCACCTCTCCAAGACAGAGCTACATTGATTGAAGCATTTGACACTACCATTAAGTAAACCACTCAAAGCATTTAAAAACCTAGAGGAATATACATGACATAAAAAATATCAAGTACAGGTGGGAGGCAATCATATTCCAGTCAATATAAAGCAAGGTAAATCTCTACTTTTAGATCTTTAAAAACCTGGACCTCTAACAGCTCAGAATCCCAGTGAGCATAATGAGAAAGCTGTTAGCTGAGAAAATAAGAAAACACTCTATGTATTGTACTTAAGATGGAAACAACAGCCATATGCACTGTGGCCTCCAAGAGGCAGACACAGACTGCACGTGGGTATACAGCACAGACACAGGCCACAAACCTAGCAACCTCCAAAACACAAATGAAAGGTGGGAGGAAGAGACTCTACCCACCAAGGGAAAACTAAAAATGGCCAGTCTAGTAATTATAGAAAAGCGGGACTTTAGACGGGCAGGTAGACAACAGATATCCCTGATGGTCCAAAGGAGACAGAAAAATCAGCTGAGGCAAAACAACACAACTGATCAAGAGGCATAATCAAAATGAAATGAGGATGTACATACACCAACTAGAGTTATAACATCCTAAATTCACCAATTGGTAGAAATGCTAACTAGATTTGTCCATCAAAAAATTGGACATTTGGAATAAACTTATCAGAGTTGTCATCAAGGGAGAGAAGTATCCATAACAACAAAACATGCCAGACATTATACGAGATGTGGCCACTAAGGGACATTAAATGATAGGAAAAGGACCAGCCAGGGAGGAAATCTGGCAGATCGACTACTGTGGACCCACAAGTGAATCATTAAGGGAAGACGTACTACGACCTGAGGCTAGGATTGGCATGCTCTTTGGTGCCAAGGACACCCACCATTCCCCAGAATATTAAAGGTCAGGCTGGGCAACATTTCTACAGCTAAGAAAATCCAGTATGAGCCAATTTGAAGATATCTTATGGAACTTTCATACAGTTCTTAATATAATTACAGAAAAAATTGTTGAAATTTAATAACCATGAAAGACAAAGCTACCCCCTCATAAAAAAAAAAAGAAGAAAAAAGATACGACTACCCAAAGAGCCAGGCTTTGAAATAAATGGGAAATGAAGCAGTGTCGGAGCGTTGGTCAGGATTCATAGAACTATAAACACAGCCAAAACAGGTTTTCATACCTATGTTAGAAGATGTCAAAATTGAAACTTATGGAGGTAAGATGGTATGGATTCTTTAACCCAGGTAAAGTACCCAAAAGGGGTAGGTAATAATCCCTCAACATGGTATAGATAGTCCTGAGGAATACAATTTTCTTGATACTGCACCAATATTTCAAACTAAACCAGAGACTAAAGAATGAGAATGTATGTGGTGGCAAGTGACTAGTAACTGTCTTGATTATATCACCCACTGTTACTTTAAATTGGGAAAAAAAGCATATCCCGGGATGCATAGTAGGATGACCTACTTTCCTAACAACGGAAGCCGAAACGGAGCCTTGCGGGGACATGGCAGCACACTGCGCTGACAGTAGGCCCAATAGGAAGCACACAATACTCAACTTCCTGAGGATATGAAAGTTGCTAAATCAGCAGCACAGGACACTGCAGGCGGCTGCGGAAGCAGAAGAAACAAAAGAGTAGGCATAACAAACTGTCTGAATCTTCCCAGACACCGAACATGGCTGTCAAGAACATGGCCTTATCAAACTGAAGATAGAGTTGGACTACTTACAACAGAGATGTGATACATTAGTTAATGTCCTCTTCAGGATTACAGTGTGCAGGGCATGTATGAGACTCTTGCTGGGAATGAGTCCTTGGACAGATTAGAACATTAGATACTTGAAAAGCAAGCAGCTGTGATGACATGGGTTTGGATCCAGCATAAAGCACAGCGTCCTGGAGTGACTCAGAGACAGGGATTAAGTTTACAGTGTGTGAAGACTCTACTTGTGAGTCTAAGTCCCAGTGATGTGGTAGCCACAATACTTTCTCAGCATCAACACACAAGGGGATGGTCATTAAATCTCAACTTCTTCCGTGCGCTGCCACATAATTGTCAACTCTGTGAAGTCTACCGCTGACTGGGGATGAGAGGCAGAGTCAGCGTCTCTGAACTGATCAGACCACACACAGCTAGGATGAATATCATAGGCTACTAGGCTGCATACTGCCAGTCACAGTGATGGAATTTCCATGCCTAGGGAAACCTCGGCCAGTGAGAGCACTCAGCTCAC